ATTTCAACAAGAAACAAAGTCAAGCATTCAAAATTTTGGAAACTCAAGTTAGCCAAATTTCGAATGTTATGAATCGACTTGAAGCAAAAGATTCGGGTAGGCTCCCTTCCCAAACTGAGCAAAACCCAAGATAACAAGTCAATGCCATCATGCTAAGGAGTAGCCCAGAATTGCAAGCAAGGAAAGTTGACGAAGAAAATGTTGACAAAGATGAGGTTGACCACAAGGAGGAGGAACCAACGAAAACTAAATTCCCTCCACTTTCATCATATGAACCACTTCCTCCATTCCCTGGGGCACTGAAGGACACAAGAAAGCTGGAGAATGATCGGGACCTCTACGAGACCTCGCCAATTGTGAGGTAAATATCCCACTCTTCAAACTAATCAAAAGTGTTCCCCGTTATGCAAAGTTTTTAAAAGAACTATGCACAATGAAAAGAAAGAATAAATTGAAAGGGAAACAAGAGGTCAAGGTTAGTGAATGTGTCTCAGCAATTTTTCAGAGGAAACTCCCAGAAAAATGCAACGATCCAGGCATGTTCACTATTCCATGCAAAATAGGGGACACTTTATTTCCTAGGGCCTTGTTGGATTTAGGCGCTTCAATAAATGTCATCCCATTTTCATTATACGAGTCCCTAAAACTTGGCCCAATGCATGAAATCGGGATAATAATCCAATTGGCGGATAGGTCCAGCATATACCCAAAGGGCGTCGTAGAGGACGTGCTAGTAAAAGTTGAAATTTTGGTCTTCCCTGTTGATTTCTATATTTTTGAAATGGAAGCTGATAACCAGGCTACACCCATCCTTTTGGGAAGACCTTTCTTAAAAACGGCTCAAACAAAAATAGACATGTCAAATGGTTCATTAACTTTAGAGTTTGATGATCAAAAAGTAGAATTCAACATTTTTGATTCTACGAAAAAAAATTAAAGACCAAACTCTTTATTCTCTAAACGTTTTGAACCACAAACATCACCTATTTTTGTTGAAAAAGAAGCTGAGAAAATCCCACTTTTTGAAGAGGAAGAAAAATTTCAGCATAGGGTAGAGGTGATAACAAAGAAGGAATCTCGACTTTACTGGAAAAGGCCAAAGAAGAAGAATGAAACAAGGGATGTTCACGATCCCACATAAAACAAAAAAGTAAATAAAAATAACGTCGTGTCGCGTTATTAAATAAGGCGCTTCATGGGAGGCAACCCAAGTTTGTATTTTCATTATTTTCATTTATTTCTGTGTGTGAGAAAACCTTAAAAAAAAGGGGACCTGGGAAAGACACCCGACCAAGGCACCCCAAGAAAACGAATATTTCAATCCACCCGACCGGGTACTGTTTCTTCACCCGGCCGGGTAACACTGATAAAAGGGCCTGGAACTAACAAACCGACCGGGCGAAAATTTTTTCTTGAAAGCCCGGCCCCTGGAACGAAAAAAATTGACCGGGCCAACGACATATACCCGGCCGGGCACTTTGTTTAAAAACATTCTAGATGGCGGGGAGTTAGGCCCGACCGGGTAACCTCCAACACCCGACCGGGCTGTCGGGTTTTGAACACAAAAGGCGGCAGGCAACCCCTCCTTCCCCATTATTTCTTCCTCCTCATTTCCCCTCCTACGATATACGAACAAACCTCCCCCATTTCCACCAGTTTCGAACATAAAACCTTCGAAACCTCACCATCCCTTCAAAATCCCACCATTTTCTCCACCAAATCAACCAAATAAACCCTTTTTCTTCATCTCCTCATCACCCTATTCAACCACAAAAACCTCCCAAATAACCAAAAATCTAAATCACCTTACTCCACAAACAACAAAAGTTGAAATTTCCTCAACCAAAAAGAAAGAAATGATACCAAAAAGGGCAAAGAGATTCACTCTCTTGGACATCTCGGACACAAGCACTAGGGACAGTGCTTTGATTAGCTTGGGGGAAGAATTTCATGGAAAACTCACATTCATACTCTGTATTCTTGAGTTATTTTAAAAAAAAAAGCAAAACAAAAAAAAAGGTTGTTAAGTTGAAAACCTGAAAAGGCAACTTATGCAAAAATAAAGCAAAAAAATAAGAGTGAGTTGTGAGGATTAAAACAGACAAATGTGGGAAGCTGGGATGAAAACCCGAAAGGGCACCTAGGCAAAATGAGAGAATGAGAGAAAATATTTTCTTTTATTTCTGCAGAATCCTAAGGGTAATGATAAAAAAATTGAGGTTGATGAGAAATATGGAGTTGAAGACCCCTCTTTACTTTTATATTTTTTGGGGGGATATTTTTTGTGTTGTCTTAAAAACACTCTTGGATGTTTGTGTGGATACTCTTGCTACTTTAGGGACTTCTTGAACTAGGTTTGATTTACTCGAGACAAGTAAAGGTTCAAGTGTGGGGGTGTTTGATATGCACTAATTAGTAGTGCATAAGTGTATGTTTTTATGTTTGATTTATGTGTATTGTTTATCGTTTTATTTAGTTTGTAAACATTTGTGTGATTTTAGTTGTAATTGTATTTTAGTTCTCATTTGTAAGTTGTAAAGTAGAATTAGGAATTATGGTGTTGAAAAGGAGGACTTTGAAGTGAAGAAAAAGGAATTTTGACTGTCCAGGAGCAAATACCCGACCGGGCATAAGACGTCACCCGGTCGGGTCTGATTCAACAACCGAAAGTGCCTGGAAAGTGCACTCACCCGGTCGGGTCTCTTACCCCACCCGGTCGGGTCAGACATGACCCGGGACCAAACGACGTGCAGAAGCATGAGAACATGGCGGATTATTTGATTTTGACATACACCCGGTCGGGTGGGCACTTGACCCGGTCGGGTACCCGGCCCAAGGTGCTGAAAAACACCTATAAATAGCACACTTTTCCTTCACAAATAATCATCAATTCCTTTATACTCTTAAGCTCAGTTTAGAAGCATTTCTTTATATTTCTTCTAGCATGTTTAGTCTCCAAATGAGGAGCTAAACTTCCATTTCTTGGCGTTGCTCTTGAAGCTTGTTGATTATTAAAGTTGTGAGTTATTTTCTTAACTTCTTTCCTTGAATATTAATTCTTCCTTTAAATACTATTTCTATATCAATGTTGGGGAGTGTTACTAAGATGACAATTAGTTAACATCTTGACATTAGTTATAGTTATAGTTATTTCTTCCTCTATGTTAATATTGGGGAGTGTTACTAAGATGACAATTAGTTAACATCTTGATATTAACTATAGTAGGATTCATCTTCTTTAATATTCTTCCTTGAGTATTAATTAACTCCTATTCATATTTCATATTAATATTTTGAACATTACTTAAAGGATCAACTAGTTTTGTTTCATATATTAATTATTACTAGAAATGATCAACGAACCGATGGTTAATCGCTAATGGTTTCACAAGTAAGTAACTTCGGTTTATTAATGCACGGTCGTGGTTAATAGACTTAAGAGGGATTAATTTTGTTGGTTAAACCGAAACCATTGTGTTGAGGTTATCAATCTCAATTGATTTCATCAAGGTGTTAAGAGATTAAATGCTTCTATCAAGTCGGTATATGGCGTTGTTCTATACTTGACTAATAGTAAGGGTTATTAATGAACGGTCGTTGTTAATAACTACCCTCGATGAATTGGATATACTTCTCGATTGAGTATTCGAGAGGAGATAAGTTATAGATATAACAATGATCGACTGAAATATATCAACAAGTGAAAAGTAGCAATGCCAAGTCCCTTTTTATCTTTGAATTAAATCACATATAACTCATTCATCTTCGTGTTTAATTTTAATTAAATCACTCAATCAAAACCCCCATTTATTTACTAGTTCATAAAAAGAGAGTTATTCCTTTCCCTGTAGATACAAACTCTACTACGCTATATACTACGTATAAGTGTTGTATTGATTATTAATTTGAGGCACACTACGACAAAGTGTTCGTCAAGTGCATTTATCTTCTTCAACACAATAATGCTTCTTTCTAGTATCTCTTTCCACATTCAAGTCTAAACCTACACACCCTAAGAACTAATATTGTTCTTACTTCTTAATTGGTTAGGGAAAACTGTCAAATAGGTTCTCAAACTTTCATAAAAAGGTCAATTAAGTCCTTCTATAGGAGGTTCTGCCCGGCCATCGCGATTTGGGGCAGTTCCCGATGGGGTTTTTTGATGAAATTTTTTTAGCATCTTATTCACCAAGTCTAGTTTACTCATACCAAATTTCAGCTAAAAATTCAATCGGGAACACATTCAAATTAATTCTTGAAGATAACTGCGCATTTTTGCGTTCTCGAATTAATTTGAATGCGCTCCCGATTAAATTTTTAGCTGAAATTTGGTATGAGTAAACTAGACTAGGTGAATAAGATGCTCAAAAAAATTCATCAAAAAATTCCACCGAGAAGCGCCCCAAATCGCGACGACTAGACAGAGTCTCCTGTAGAAGGACTTAATTGACTTTTTTATGAAAGTTCGAGGATCTATTTGACAGTTTTCCCAATTGGTTATAAGCGGGGTGCCACTCTATATATTACACTATTTTCTTTTGTGATTAGCCATAATCTCAAATTCTATATATTAATTACACCATTTGCTTGGGTCACTACATTGGGTATATATTTTCCTTGACTACATTTTCCATGTGAAGCGAAAAATAAAAAAATAGGAGTATATGAAAATGATTTCGAGAACTCAATAACTTCCCGAGATTTTGAAGGAGCCATTATCAAACACAGGCCAATAAGGCAATATGTAAGAGTACATAAAGATATGTTTATATATATATATATGTCCCCTCTCCCAGTCATAATGGGTTTCAGGTTATCGAATAGGCATGCATACATAGATATACAACCATGTGGTTGGTTTAGATAAGATGAAAAACGACTACGAAAATATCACAAAGCATAACAAGACACAATATGATAATAAAACATAATAAAAACAAAATGTTAAAGCAACAATATTCGAAAATACATACAAGAATAATATCATTATTATTGATGCATTATTATTAACTTCTCCGAGCGGGAATTTCACAAGACCGGATCAACCAAGATGGAGGTTATCATGGGCTTAAGGTTTGAGGAATGTGTATATGAATCACCATCTTTTTTGTAGAGCAATTCAATAACCCTTGCGAGATTGACAACTCGAATGAGTATAGGCAATGGATAAATAGCAGTAGGTTTAAGGCATTCTTGATTGATATCTTTCCATGCATTGGCTACTACTTCTTCAAGCTCTTTCACCGCCTCTTCTTCTAACTTCCCATATTGTTTCATGTAGCACTCTACAGCCGAATCCATGTGCCCTCTTTCCTGCTCAAACTATACATGCATGCATACATACATAAATACACACACATATAGATGTAAATCACAACTTAATTAATTAGGTTTTAGTTAATTAAACATAAAAGAAGTTTTGTAAGAGCCCTACCTACGTGTATTAACTTTAAGTCTTTAAGCCTAGCTAATTACTCTTTCAATTGCATGCATGCCCTTTCTTTTCAATTTCAAGCATCTCAATATAGATCGAAAACATACTTAGATTGCAGATCTACATACTAAGGTTGTCTACAAAAAGTAAATAAGCGAATGATAAAAGGGTTAATGTGACAAAGTAAAATGGTATTGGTGTTTTTGTTAAGACGTGAAGTTTCATCTTAAAAAGTCATCTATGATTGGAGGAGTAATTCAGATCTTATATAACACTTTTTACAATTTTCCGGTTTGTGACTTTAACAGTGTTCAAAAAGTGTGGTAAATTTTTTAGACAAGTGGAGTAATTAATTTATACTAATTACCTTATGTCCAGCTATGTCATCCTTTAATCTTGCAATGATTGCAGAAGCTTGAACAATTAAGGGGTCATGAGTTTCCAACCAATCAAAGGCATTACTAGCTACAAAATCTTCTGGCATGCCTACCAAAGAAGCTGTTGCCGCCATAAAATAACCGGATGACTTAAGTGCCACCTTCATGTACTCATCAAACGTTGGAGTTGATCCACCATGGAACCATGTCCCTTCTTTATAATATGCTTCCACTAGTTTTTTCATCTAATAATTTACATTCATATTAGAACACTATGCAATGCATAAATACCCACACATTCATATATCTAGTAACATGTGTTTCTAAGGTTTGAATGGTACGTATATAGTAGGGAATTTTGCGAATTTAGTCCCGTAATTTTTATTTAATTTGTGCCCGTTATAACTTTTTAATTACTTCGATATCATGTATCATAGATAATAACTTGATCCATTAAAAACTTTTCCTCCAAAATGTATAACTTTTGGAGAAAAAGAGGACCGTAAAATCCAACACTGTCGTGATATTTTCAACGAGAATAAGTACATTCCGGTTGGAAAATCGTTAATATAGATAAGGTTATTAGTCGAGGTATTAGCTACAATTAAGTTAACTTAAAAGACTAAAAATGAACATATATACATAAGTTGTGAGATCACTAAAACTACAAAAAATGTAGGACGACGTAGTACCTCAGCTTTGGCATAGTGAATGCGGTAGGATTCTCCTCTGGCAGCCAATTCTATCTCCATTTCACCAAAGACATCAAGAAATGCATTATAAACAACCTTCATATATGCTGGCAGTTCTCCCATAGCACTCGCGTCCAGCCTTCATTCATAATAAAAAGTTAACTAGTAGGGTTTCTATGTATGAATAGAGAAGAGTAATATAATTTGATTAATTTAGTTACATAAGTACATAACCTACGTACTTCCTTCATTTTTTTAATTGCAATGGACCACTTTTCACGTTTGTCAACGCATAAGTTTGATCATTAATATCTTCCATTCCTTATTAGTAAAAAAGTTAAAAAAAAAAATAGATTTTGAAAATTTAAAATGAGAGGATTTTGATAATATTTTTTTAAAAAATTTAATTCATAATATACTCCGTAATACATTAATAAATAAAATAGAGTCAAAGTAGAAGTGCAAAAATTCTAATGTTGCATTTAAAAGAGAACGAAGAGAACGGATTGTTGCACGAACCTTTGGAAGGCATGTGTGAATAGCTGGAGTTCTTCGGGGGTTCCATGCACATCATAGACATCATCAACGACAGAAGCTAGAGATATCATTTTAGTAACAAACTCTCTTGCTAAACCATATTGTGGCTCAAAGTACACTCCCAACGACCACAAGTAGCACTCCACCAACCTATCTCTAGCGAATGGCAATTTTTCCGCTACACCTACATTTTTCCACCACCTACATATTCCAAAGTTTCGCTCAAAGTATATTACAAACTTTTTTTAAGACCGTGCATGCATGAATATAAGTATCTATAAGATTGCATTTCTATTAAAAACATTGTGTCAATTAAGCTGAAATTTAATTGAGTGAATGAATTTTAAGATGAAATTTTGTGATTATAATATATGCACCTCATCAAGAAAACATTCTAGCTTAGATTCTGAATATCCAAGAGAAATAATTAAAATGTTGCCCACAATTAAGACAAGGCAAAATTGTCCTAAATAGGACTAAATTATTGCTGAAATTCCAAAATAGGAGTAGACTTAATTTTATTCCCTATATAGGACCCTTTTCCCAATTTTACCCTCTAATTCATTTCAACCCTGCGCAACTCATAACCTTCGTCCACGATCAAGGGTCGCATCTTCTACACATAGCAGGGCTTCAACTGCCAGAGGGGGCAGGCAGCAACAGCGGCACCGAGTGCCGGCAAGCAGCGCCGGCGAGCGCCGGTGAGCAGCGGCAACGACCGTATGTGGTCTGTCTCTTCCTTTGCTTCCTCTATTTCTTCAATTTTTTCCGATTGAATCTGGTGCGGTTGTGGTGGTGCCAAGCTGCGTGGTCTTCTTCTCTCTTCTTTTATGTTGATCTGCAACATCCTTGTTGCCCCTTTACTTCTTCTTTTGTTTTATACGAATTTCTGTGAGCTTTGCATCTTCTTTTGCTCGGTTTTGAATTGTACTAGCTTGCTGCCTCGGTGTTTGTCAATAAGATTTGAAATTAAACTGGTGTGGTTTACTTCATTTTTACAATTGCCAATTTTTCGTTTAAATGCCTTCAAAATGGCATTCTTATTCTTTAAAAATTTGATAATTTTCTTTGAAAATGTCATTAAAATGGCATTCTGGATTCATGTTGGCATTTTGGTAAAAAAGTTGGCATCGGTGGTGGCATCAGTCAGATTTGCCATGGCGACGGCCGGATTTGTGATGGCGGCGTTTGGATCTGCAGTGGCGGCTAGATCTGCTGGGGCGGCAATTGGCAGTCGGCGGAGGTCAGATCTGGCCCGATTTAGAGAGGCGGCGGCCTGATCTACGGCGGCAACGGTCAAATCTGCATAGGCGGCCGGCGGCGGCGGCTATTTTTGAGGTTACGGCGGCGGCCGGAGGCGGCGGTCGGCGGTGGCCGGCGGTGGCCGGTCTGGTATTCTGTAGGTGACAGTCTGTTTTGTCAAATTCTTGGGCACTTCTGTCCCTCTACAAATAATAAGTCTTATTTAGGGAACTTTTAAACTTTAGTCTTATTTTGACAATTAGAAATTTAATTACTCCCATTTAGGTAAATCCCCCTTAAGACAATTAAGTTTGAAATATAATAATTGTGACCTTGGTCCGATCCAATGGTCCACGTTGACATTGAAGTGTGTTGATCACTATGGACTAAATTGTCATCATCGACTCATTGTAATAGGGGTCACATTCACAACTTTTGAAATTACTAGTATATAATAAGGTTGTTGTTAAATGTCCTACACCGGAAACATTTGGATGAACAAAGTGCTATATTAACACATGAGCTACTCCCCCTATCAAGTTGACCTTTTAGGATGGAACCCCGTGTCTTAACAGTTGTCGATCAGGATAATTAACTAATGCAAGTAGCCCTTATTGGGATGTCAAACCTAAGGAAGAGTGATAATGAATATGAGTATTTAGCTAATTTCATTAGCTGGCGTCTTTTTGAGAATTTATCAAAACAAAAACCATATAAAATCTGTTCAAAGGCAGAACATCATTGTATAATATTGGCAAACATTTTTTATTCAATATCCATACATTTTAATTTTTTTCATGGCTCAAAATTAGTTAGCTCAAATTACACGAGTTAAGAATACATTTTATTTTATATATATGGCCAACTAATCAAAATTAATTAATTCGTTACCTTGTAAGACTGCCTAGCTCTTTTTGATGCTGTTTTTGTAAGAGGTTAAAGTCCAACTTTGCAAACTTCAACAAGGTAGTATCATGAGATTCATCAAGTTGGTAAATGGATAGGAATATTCTTGCATCTATCCTTGCCAACCTTTTACAAATTGGCTGTTTTAGTGCTTCACTAAGCAGTAGTGATCTGCTGGTTGGGGTGGTCGTGTTTGGACGAAGCTGCTGCATGGTTGTGCGTAGGTGAGAAGTTGTAAATATTAGCATTTCATCCAATATTTTCTCACCGTGCACCCTAAGATGTGACGCCTCATATAAACTTAGAATTGCATCAACATTTTTTAGCAACGATTCCTTCAACTTGCCATCACTTTCCAAGAATTTTGCAAAGCAACCTGTGAAAAATTAATGGAAAATTATTTAGAAAAAAATTGAATGTGTAGGACTTTCATGTTTTATTTCCTAAATATGAGTAATTACTGTCAATTTTGAAAAATACCGCATGTTTTGTGTTGCCAAAACATGGTAGTAAATACTCCTATTTCGGGAATAAAAACATGGTAGTCCTATTTTAGAATTTTAAAGTGTTTAACCCTTTCCCATTTAATCTATTCATTAGGTATACATTTCTTTGAGAGATCGAATTACAGAAATTGCCTTAAATAGGAATAAAAATGTTTTGAAATTCCAAAATAGGATTATCATGTTTTTTATTCCTTGAATAGGAGTAATCTGCCAAGTTTGAAAAAAAATGTCATGTTTAAAGCCTAGTAATGACAAACTTGGCAGAAATTTACTTCTATTCAGGGAATAAAAAACATGATAGTCCTATTTTGAAATTTCAAAACGTTTTTACTCCTATTTAGGGAATTCTCTCATCGAATTAATATAGTGTGTTGTCTATACCTCATATAGATAGAGGACTTTGACCTATAAGGTACAATTAAATACTTTGGAGGTTGTGTCAAATTCACACTGATTCTTAAAAATGCATTACTTTTATACCAATATTTGTACTAAGAGATGTGTTCATTATGAGTTTTTTCAAAACTATTACCAAAGTAAAATTTATTTACACAAATATGACTAATAGTTATTATGCTATGGTGTCATGATGTTTAAAAATTGAACATAAGTTATAATGAATAAGTTACTACATACGAAGTATACTATAGTCTTGAGTCACATTTTTATAAATAATTTTTATTTTAGTCATTAATACGGAGTAAGTAATTATTTCTTTCTTTTATTATTGGTATTAATATTTTTGAATTGCATCTACGTACTTGTAATAAATACTATTACTCCCGATCAACATCCCATAATTCTTGTAAGATACTACTCGGTACTTTCGTTCTTAAAAAAGTGCGCAACAGTCAACTTTTCACGTTTGCAAATGCACAACTTTGACCATTAATGTATTTAATTATCTATTATTAAAAAAAATAAAAAATCTAGATTTTGAAAATTTACAAAGTGACAAATTTAATAATATTTTTATAAATCTAATTTATTTATACGTCAATAAATAAAACGCAGTCAAAGTAGAACATATGAATAGTGTAAAATTCAACAAAAGTTGAAGGACTGTTTTAAATACTCAATATCACCACAAAAGTAATTAACTTTATATGTAGTATTAATTATCGAAACCTTAATTATCTTGGTTTAGAAGGAAATGTTGCTAAGTCATAACCGTTTTGTATATAACTACGGAGTATAAATTATGAAACGTCAATTTACAAATCTTGTTATTTATGCACACTTTGAAATACATCAATACGAAAATTTTCAAACAACATAAAGACTAACAACTATATAATCTTGATAAGTCCATAAATATCAAGAACACACACGCTATCTCCAAATTATTTACATATATTTATCCTTAGCTTTTCACCCATTCCGAAATCACACCCAATTTCTTTTTTCAAGAGCAACAAAATATAGCTTACAATATTTCTCTATATAAATATATACATCATCAATCACACAATTATATTTTTATTTAATTTTATCGTGTATTGCGTTTTTGTTCTTTTTAACTTGAGGGGGTGTCTGGGGAAGGGGGTCTGGGGAGTCTGGAGTAAACTGGTTTGAAACTCACTCCATTGAGTTTCAAACCCGAGATCTGTCATAAGGGAGAGTGCGGCGACCAGCTGAACTGTATTGCGTTCTTTCAAATAGAGTAATACTCCGTAATTAGTTTATACTTACTGCTAGATACACCATACCCTTCTTGTCTGAGTAGTCGAAAACGAATAGAAACTGCATACAGATCATTCTCTTTTATGTCCTTGTCGTTGAGGTCATCGTACACCTCAAATATGTGTTGCATAATTGCTTCGATCTCCTCCTTAAAGTGATAATTCACCCCTAACCGTTGGATGTTGTTAATCAAGTCCAATTTTTTTGATGAAATGTGAGGAGCTTCCACAAGCATATTTCTCACCTT